TTTAACATTGAGGTTTCTCATCTGCAGTGGTGCGACGACGACGCGCGCGAGCGGCGAGGGAAAGGGTTTAGGGGAAGTAGCATGAACCACCATGGAAACAAACAAAGAAAGAGTGGAGTGACAGCTTGTACAACAGTTCGGCAGGTACGTTTGCAGCCCCCCCCCAGTGGCCTCTTCGTTGGCCATCCGCCACTGGGAGGGGGATGGCCCCCTGCATTCAAAACTCTTAGTTACAAAGGTGGAACCCTTAGAGACAGGGGGTGACACACACACACACACACACTTTGGCCCTGATTCTGTCATGGGACATAGGATGCATGTTTGAAAAAATCACAGTCAATTCCCGCCCTGGGCGGGGATGTTTTGTTCAAGGCCGATAGTTCTGAAGGGGTTCTCCAGCGGTCTATAGACAAGGCACTAGCGACTCTGCCACATCGGGAAAGCGCTGTGGCACTGTGGTCATCTCCTCGTCCAACGCACCCCAAGCCAAAAGCTGCCTTGTCACAAAACCACCACAGTCGGACGCACGGTTGACACAACGTGGCCACGTTTTTCCCTCTAATGTGATGCAGTCAGTGCTGTGTCAGGGCGGCCCAGGTGCATGAACACTTCTTCTCGAGGAAGCAGTGGGGGATCCGGGAAGGTCTGGGTCAGGGGGAAACAGCGCCTCAGACAGCGCGGCAAGTGTTCTGGAAATGTCTCAAGAATATATAGATCTCCCAAATTATAACCGTTCTGGGTTCGAAACTGGCGTGAAGCCTTTAGGGTAGCATATTGAAAGAAAAAACAGTGGACAATTGTGCGGAGACTCCCCGCTCAAAAGGCATGCTTGGCCACAGGAATACCACAAAATGCGACAAAACGTTTTCCCAGAAGACCTTTGTGACTCGTGACACAAGTCTAAGTTCGGCAGAATGACATCCCTGCACCAGCAAGAGTGCGAAGTTTTCAATCAAAGTCACGGAAGTGTTTTGGTTTCTTTTGGTTTCCAAGGCACACCGCCCTGCGGGGATCCACTGTGTGAAGGAAGAGGGCCAATATAGCTGGGGACCATCCCTGCGTCATGAGACATTTCATGCCCTTCTGATGAGTCAGATACACGCACTAAGTATTGTTGTGACTTATATATTTATATAAATAAGAGAAGGGAGGGACGAAAGCCAGCCGCTGTAGGGATTAAGTCAATAGTACATTTTTTTTATGGGGGGAAGTTGAAGGTGCATTTACTTCTTACGTTTTTAGCCACGGGAGAACAAAAGCAGAGATATGCAAAGTTTCACATTGAGGTTCGACATGGTAAAGCCGTATACACAAGGCGTTAACTTACCCCCATCGACTATTACTGGTCATAGGATAGACTTGGACCCCACGCTCTTGCACAACAAGTCTAGTCCTCCGGCTCAATGCCCTTCTCACGCTACAAAAGGGCATCCCCGACACTATCCTTAGACTGCGGCAACTATTCCAGGAGGACTGTTGCACTCAGCCCTTCCAAGTCCTTCCAAGCAGTCTGCCCACATAGAAAAGCTAGGTCCAGCAGCGTGACTGTAGTCAGTGACTTCAACTCAGCTACTAGAGCAATGAAAGTTCCATCCCTATCATTCTGAAAACAATGCAATGACACACCGGGTCAGCTCACCTCAGTACACCATCTTAACAGCCTGATGCTATATAATGATGCACTATTCAGCGTCATGTGCATCACTTGCATCACCAAGACTCTAAAAACATACGTTTTCACTACCTTCTGGACCGCCTCTCTTTTTCGCTCTCCCCCACCACCAGGCTCTGGGTTCACCCTACCGGGTCCCACCCCAACCACAGCCATGCCTAGCTTTCGTGATATATTCATTGATACTTATTGGTGTATAGTTGTGCCAATGTCATTCGTCATGCATTCCGGCTTCACACTCTGGTTGATCTTACCAGGTCCCATTGGCAACAAGTGAGGCAGAGGAGCACCCCAAGAAACACACAGGTTTCCGTCAGCCTGTGAAGTGCAAAAAGTCGCTGGATCACAGTTTTGAGCTTCAGATGCAGGACTTGTAATCAGTCGCTCCCTGGCTCGATCCTGGATGGAAGATTTTTGGGATCCCACCTGGCGATCACAAAAGAAACGCAGAAATGAGTTGATCAGCTCTTTCAATGTGAATTCAAAGATCTACTCAAACAGGCCCAATGGCAACCCTGCCTGTCCACAAACATCCTGCCAGGGCATTCCATTCAAGGGAGGTTGCTTGCCAGTGTAGACAGGTCGCTGATGCGCAGACTTCAAGATGGGCAGCAGAGTCTGTAGCATTGCACTGGATCCCCGACAGACTGCAAGGTGTAGCAAGGAAATTCGCCTCACTTTTGTACACAAACAAACGATCTCAGCCTGATCTACAGGTCTCAGCCTGGCTTGCTGTCTTTTGGTGAGCAACTGAGTGGCCAAAATGTAGGGGCCTGCAGTCTTCATGCTTCCGAGACACAGGTCCCTGCCAGTCCATGCGTTGGCAGCAGCATCTGGTAAGGCTAAAGAGCAATGTTTGACGAAAGCCATACCAGGAAAGTCTGCTGAATAAAGCCGGACTAGAGGGTCAGCGCCATACCTAGGCCCCCCAGCCAACGCAAAACAGCCTTTCAGGCTTTTCACACCCTCACAAAAGCGCCAGGACACTCCAAAAGCGCTTTCACCATCTCAGTACTGCTGCGCACCACGGCCAAGGCCAGTGGACACCACTGAGTGCCGCTACTCCGCCGATCCAAGTCATTGACCACTCGCCGGCCCCCCAAGCGGCAAAGCTCCCGCACCAAAGCCACGTCGTTGCTCCAAACGCCATACATCAATGGAGTCCAGCAATGACTGGGCAACGCGTACAGTCTCTGTAAGTTCTTCGCAAGAACGACATTTTGGGGGGAAATGACATTCTTCCAACCTTTCTGATACAGATGAAGGTGAGGAAGACATGGAAGCCAAACAACTTTGCCACTTCTTGGCCAACTTATGGCAGCGTTCTAGCAACCTCTCTCTGTCAAAACTGTTGCATGGTCCTTCTTGCACCTCAGGACCCTTAAACACAAAGCCTCACACACCATCCCTTTCCTGAGTGTGTCCTCTCCCCTGAAGCTTTGCCCAGTCCGCCTTTTCGTCATACTGTTGGTGCATTTGGGTGTGCACCGGATGAGCACATGGCAGCTTCGTTGGTGACCACCAAAAGCTGCTAGATGTATGGGCCGAAGACCTCACAGGCACTCTGAGGGGGCTCTCTGCGAGCTCTCCCCCACCACACAAGGTCATTTTGGGCCGAGAGGTTAAGAGGAGGTAAGCTAGAAGCTTGAGAAGCGACGAAGAAAGGCTGCTTAATGATTTGGTTTCTAGATTTGTTCGGAAACTAAAACCCTAAGTGAAGCCTTGTCGGCCTCAACCGCAAGCCCTTGAAACATGAGTCTCATGGAAATGGACGCATCACTTGAGGCCAAACAATCGTTCACGACCCGGACAACATGTTGGTAAAAAAAGAACACGAAACTTCAGTCAGTTGAAGGGGAATCTGCGACGAGCACCATCAGTTTATGCACTAGTTTAGTGACAAAAGGAGACATGCCGTAGGAGACATGTTCCATGGCCTCGATCCAGCTGGTCTTCGCTGGCAGTTCCAACGCTCTGGACGCATACGACAGCTTCCTCGTCTCCTGACGCAAGCCTGCATTCTTCTGCCCACAGACGAACAAATCTCAAATCCAAGTGCTATAAGTACACTCTTCATCCTTCGGCCGTCATGCCTTGTTTTTGAAGTAGAAGTGACTTGCAGGTTGAGGTCTTCCACCCTCGTTCCCAGTTTCGACATGCTGAATAGAATAGCAGGTAGATGATCCATGATGATACACCAGTCGACTCATGTCTGGTGCCAAGCCTATTCAATTGAATGGAGCTCACGTAGAAGTCTCCGGTCACGGCGTTTGGATTTGCCTCCAGCAGAGTCAGTACTTCCCTATAATCGGTCTTTTGTCTCCTAACATCAGTGAAAGCAAAAACAACGGAAATGAATCATGAGCGTAAGCATATCCGTGTAAATATCCTATGGATCATCCATGCAAATATCACAAATATTATTTAGTATATATACATATTGAGAGAGAGAGAGAGAGTATATCCAGAACACATGAGCTCCTTCCTTCCTGCCTTGGCGGTCAAAAGCACCTGAAGGATCTCTGTGTAGCCTCGTGCGGCTGCCAAGTGAAGCGGTGTCCACTCCTCGTAGCCAGGACGAGATGACCGGGCATCCACCTGTGGGGCCGAGCTGTGGCTGTGGCTAAGCGAAAGGAAAGGGAAAGCAAAGGAAACGAAGGCAGGAAACGGAAGGAACGAAGGAATTGTTGCTGTCATTCCGCGTGAAACAACGGTAACGACCCTACCTCAACTCAACTTGAGAAGGCAACACAAAAGGTAAGAGAACCAAGGTGGTGCAACTGTTTCACTGCAAAATAGCCATGTCCTCTTGTGGCAGGCTCTGGGAAGGTGGATTTGTGAGGCTGGTAGGTGATATGCTTTCACCAGGTGGTTGTATTCGCTCTGGTACGTGTTCAGTGCGACCACGGGTGAGATACTGTCGGTTTGCAGTCGTAGTTTGCTACCGCTGGTGACCGCATCGCTTTACTGTTGGTGAGGTCGCATTTGTGCACCATATTGATTGCTTTTCTTTCGCGGAGAGAAACGGCGCAAGTTTATCGAGACTTAGAATGTACAAAACTCGGGCAATAAGAAGCCCAGGTGTGTATCCTGTCAGTATGGTTATCTTGGTGCCAACCTGCACGCTGGGCATACGCTTTAAGGACCATTTCACCAGGTCTGCTCCTCTGTTCTGCAAGCGCTTCGTTGCTGCCAGCCTCAGAAGGCAAACGGACAAATGCTGATGGAAGACTCTACAGACTCCGAGGATCGTTGAGGATCGTTGTGCGGGAGAGCGTGCTCATCTGGGGCAAGGGTAAAAGACTCTGACAGTCAACGATTTGAACAAGTGTGCTGTAAATGCTAATTCCAGTTACAGTATCAGTTCCTTTTACCTGCCCATCCACCAGCAAACATGTGCATCTCAGCAGCACGATGAGATGCAGCAGGCTCCAACCCCCTTGGAAGGTCTTCTCATGGAAAGCATTTGCCTGACGTGGGCCGCATGGGCCCTGGCCCGGGCCCGGGAGGGTCACTGCCTCGCGTGTCTCTCTCCGCTAACCTGAAGGTCCTACAAATAAAAGCATCATAGGTCCATAGGTCTGGGAGATCAAAATGTGTGTTTCAAAAGATGTTTTTGTGTACCAAAACCAATTGTAATCTTAGTGTTCTCCAGCCAAGAGGGCCGGCTCACATGTGCGTCAGGGCTAGGGGCTAGGCGCCTCATCAAGCAGCAATCTCGCAATGTGGTCATGGCCCCCATGACAAGCACTGTGCAGTGCCGTCCAACCATCGATCTGGAAGTGTGCGAAAACATCAGCGCCATTCAGCAGCAGGAAACGTGTCATCTTTGCATTGGCCTCCACGATTAACAAGAATATCTGGGATAGGGCTTCAGATATTGTGGTGGCACTTCATGGGTGGATTCTATATCGGTGGTTGAGGACGTGGTTTCTTCTTACCGGGTCTCACAACATCTAGGTGAGTTGCATTTGAAGGTCCATTTCGCATGATAGGTGTGGGGCGGTCCGCCTTTGTCACCTACTTTAGGTTTCATAGAGTGTTTCCTTTGTTCAGTTCAGGCTATATGAAAGTATCATATATCCTATTTAAGATTCCATGTGCTTCGGAGGCAGGAAATTCAACCAAGCAGACACACTGCGGAAGTTGTCTTGGATGTGTGTTTGAGGGAGGAAGGCTCTGTAGCGTGGAGAATGCCAAACTCTTTGTCCCGGTAGTACCCAATGAGGCACAGTCCTAAAAAGTCAAACGGGGCATTTGCTTGGTACGACGTGGTTGGCACTTCCAACTGCGATGAGCATTGAAGAGCTGGAACTGAAAAGCCATGGAATACAAATACCATCAAATACCTGCCTTGGCGCAAGCACAGCGCAAGGGCGTCTGCAAATTCAGCGGCTCCTCCAAAGCAGCAAAGTCAATCTCTGCCCCATCCTGCAAAGCACCAGCGCTGTCGACAGCCGCATTCTCCTGGCAACTGGCAACGTCAACGTCAGTGATCTCGTCTCTCTTTGAAAGTGCCGAAAGTCGGTTCGCGGACAGGCCAAACCTCAACTGTTGCAAAATGGCTGGAGCATCCAACGGTGCCCCAAAAATCTTGGAGTTTTGATCCACCCTTTCACCGTGTCAGGGGCCTTCACGGAGTTCAAGAGCCGCAAATTTGCAGCTAGCTGCCCATCTTGCAGCGGAGCATAGCCAGCCATATGCAGCAAGCGGAGCGAGGAAGGAATTTTACATCAAAACAAGCACAGGTTTGGGCTTGAAGAATATTCGAAAACTCTGTTTGATCTCGTGACATTGTCCAAAAACGCTCTCCCTCAATGTCCATTCTGCAAAGGAGACCAATTGTTAACAATACTCTTCAAGTCTCTGCAAATTTGCCTTGAACCAAGGAATCAAGTCGACAAATCCGACATTCCACTTGTCGCAAAATCAGCAAGTGTCATCAATCAAATCAAAACTAAGTGTCTCCCACATCTTCCCATAACCCAACAGCCCCACCTTCAAGGCGATGTCATCCAAGTTCCCAGTGAGCTGATTGAGAGTCCCCTGAAGCTTCTGGTCCTCAAAAGCAATGAACCAGTGAGCGAAGCAGAATACACACTGGAAATATCCTTTGAAAAGTGAGTGAAGACTAAATTTAGTAGTGCAGATTTCAGCATGCGAGGGGTGCTTAAAAGCCTTGGCCTGTTTCCAACATGGCCCATCCTGAACAACAGCAGGTTATTGCCTGTGTTATCCAGAAACACTTGCCAGTTTCGCATGTAGATCCCCTGCTCCGACCCACATCCACATGAGACCCTGGAAACCTTCAGTCTACTTGGTTTGCAGCAGCTGCATCCCTACCAACTTACAAAAACAAGCGAACTCTAGGGGACTCTCCACGTAGACTAAAGGATTGCAAAACAGAAGCGCAACGCCCCAGACGCCTCTGCATGCAACTTGTCCACCTCTGAGCGAGCCTGGGCCAAGGCCTGAGGGCGCCGGTTTGAACCCGGCGGGGGTAGGCCGAGAAGAGGTAGCTAGGTACGTAGCTAGCTAGTAGTAGCTAGGTAGCTACTACCCAGGACGCAGGATAGCTCACGCTTGTATTAAAGAGGATAAACATTGATTCCAAATTCCAAGACGAGCTTTTCTCCCATTCTAGGAACTGCAGGTGAGGGGTTTGGGAGGACCCATAAGGAGGTAAATCTTGGGGTTGCTATTGGTCAACTATGGTCAGATACGGTCAGATGGTCTTCAGTTTTGTTCTCCACCACACGGTGCAGAACTGATTCTGCTGGGATTGCCACCTGATCAGAGGCCGTCAAATCTTTCAGGAGCTCCTGATAGGTCTTGCTGACCCATGAATGCAAGAGAGCCATAAAGACCAAATCAAACTCTACTCCAGCTAGTCCGGCACGCTGGTTCAGAAGACAGCAAAGTTGCCAATGGCTTAGAAAGCAGCAGCCGCAGCGGCCGCAGCAGCAGATGCACCCCGTATTTTGCACATCTCCATTCAGAAAAGCCCTCGAACATCGACCAAACTTAGGAGGGACTCCCCACCACCTGTCGACTGAAGAAATCCTGGAAGAAAATACGTGCTCCTTCAGCGACGATTCACTCTCTTTCTCAGCGCGCTGCAGTCGCTCCACAGCCTGACATTCTGATGGGTTTGATGCCATCAATAATCTATGAAAGGCTTAAATGAAGTTGCAGCATGGTACAAGTACAACAACAACCCTCATCGATCCAAATTCCAAAACTGTGATCATCAGTCATGTTGATTTCGATTAACTGAATGGTTCGTAGCAATCTCCTTCAGCATCCCCAACCCATCTGCCTTGCTGCGCTCTCTAACACGCTCCTTGCATTTGCGCATGTCTCGATTTCCGGCGTTCATAGCTGCAGCTTCTGCATCTAGGTAGATGCTTCAAGCATGTTGAGACACTTGTGTTGTCAAAAGGAAAGCAGCGTGTAAAGGATACCAGGATACTGCTCCAATTAATTCGCCTTAGTAGGAATACGGACAGGTATTGAGAGAAGTTTGTGCGCGTCTTACAAGGACGCTATTTCTTTTCACGCCTCGTGATCTGTGGGAAGGTCACGACGCAACTCGACCTCAGGGCAAATGGACAGAAACTGTTCTTTTCCGAACCCGGACTGCACTAGTAACAAGAGGCCACTAGTAACAAGGGCATCGCTTCTAGTAACAAGTGCCTTACTAGTAGTAACAAGGACGCTACTAGTAACAAGATGCCGCTAGTAACAAGGGCATTGCTACTAGTAGCTAGAAGCTGTATAGCACGGGATCACACCTCAAGCTCATGAAGACGCTTGCGAAGGAAGTCCTTGAGATGCTGCTCCTTGCCTGCGGAGTCTGCAGAGTGGAGGTGCACAACTGTACTGTGAACACGCACGGTGGGCTCAGGCAGTCTCCAACCCAGTCTTCTCCCTGATCGATGGTAGGCCCCGGCCGCCCTGGCCGGCCTATGATCTCGCGGTTCAGCTTGTGACACTTTTCGCTGCTGGCTGCTAGCCTGGGCGTCAAGTGAAATGTCTTTACAGTACATCATTCAATGGCTGTGGGTCAAAGACTGAACACCCATAACTTTAATATGGTAAGTGAACATCCCAAAACCACAAGGGGTCCCTGAAGCCTCCTGCACAATCCAAAATCACTTACTAGAGCCTGCCAGCGTGTCCCAAAAGGCAACTTGCTTCCTTCTCTGTGTTCAAAAGGGGCACAGGGTTTTGACCTAAGTCGACTCTAAAGTGAGGAAGAGGATAACCTGCTTCATATGACTGAAATGGACTGATATGTGAAATGGTCATCGATGTTCCCATCCTGGCCAGACGCTAATAGACTACTTTACTTTTGAAAAAGGTTTCACAAATTGTGTGTGTGTGTGTGGCCTTTTGACAACCACCCTGCCCAAGTCCCTAGCGACTGCTCGAGCTCTTGCAGTTCCTGTCAGCTGTAGTAAGGTCATAAAACACACACCAGTCAACAGACCATGGTGATCTTCAATTGTTCACGTCCAGCTGACGATTTACGGTTCAGGCTATCCTGAAAGGAGAACATGTTGTTCTTCAATTAGCGACACTGCTCAAAGCCCAACATTTCTGGGTCTGCACCAAACCGAAGCACTTTTGCATGTTCCAGTAAGGCCATCCCAGGTAGTCCTCACCCAAGCGCAGCAGTTGTGCATCCTCTTCAGCACTCAGGTCCTGAGTGAGGGCACACTTCTCCACACGTTAGGGACAGCCTGTCTGTGAGTCACGGGCATTCAACACATGTCAACGCCCTGTGAGTTTGAAGCTTCAGCTTGAGCAGTGGAGCAGTCCATTGCAAAGAAAGCAATCTGAGACATGGGCTCCAAGGGATTTGCTCTTCATCTCTTCTTCCATTGCTGAAATTGCTGCCTGTCTGCCAACATCTCCAGTTTCGATGCCCACAAAAGCAATGTGAAAGAAAACCCCGTTGTAACCATCACGATGAAATGGCACATGATGTGCACTCCAAAGGGGTGGCAGTGGGGAAAAATGATCTGCCAAGCTCTGATGCTTGGTTCCTCCAACAACCGCTTTTGGAAAATGCAGCGGCTCACTTCACGGAATAAGCATAAAAAGAAATTTGCAAACCTGAGAAACGTGAGAATCGCGTTCCCTCCATGATTCGGGATGCTGCAGAAAGCAAGCTCGCTGATGCTCACTTATCCGAGATTTTTTGCATGTCTGGCAAAATGCACATACTAAATCCGCTGACCTGGGTTTGGACTGCTCTTGCGAGAGCTGTGGGGTCCACAGTCCACAGCTGCTTTTATCGTCTTGGTCGTTTTAGTCGGTTCCAAAGGTTGACGCGGCTATGTGTGTAAAGGCCAGGCCCTTAGGCCATTAATGGAACTGTGGGGCTGATGGCTGCAGATCAGATGATCCGGTAGGGATGGGGTAGGGCAGTCTACACGATGACTCACCCTGCCGTGGCGAATTTTAACCTACAGCGAGGATCTATGGATATGCCCTAAATTTAACCAGGTGGGCGGCACAGGCAGCAGCCCCGTTAGTGGTTTAAATATTTATATGTCATATTCATTTAAATACATATGTTGCGTATGCATGGATGATTTTTTGTGGTGTCCGATTCTTTTGTTTGTTGTGGGCAAGGACTCAGTGCAGCCACCATTTTTGCTGCGACCCTCCGCTTCATGATCCACCCTCCGTTTCACAAGCAAAAACCTTCAAAATGGAGATGAACGTTACCATTTCACTATCGTCCATGATATCTAGGTGCAAATTGGCATCACAACACTGTGCACTGTGTCGTTCAGAAGCCTCATATTGAGCTATGTGGCTTTTCAACTCGTTGCAACGCTCAAGGCTTTGGCCTTATCAGCATGTGACTGGAAAGCCTGCTGGGAAATGCGTGAAGAAGGAAGAAGAGCAAGTCTTGAGATACACGGTTGAAGAAACATGAAAAAGCGAGAAGTTGAAGGAAAGCCAGAAAAATCAAACACATTGAAATGCAGTGTCTGGGGGACCAGTTTTAAGATGGCCACACGCCCGTATGCAGTGTATTTCGTGCTCACAATTTCAAGGCCCCGGCGGACAGAATCTTCGTGGCGCGCAGCACGACCTGTTGACAACATCATTGATAAATCAAACAAACGTTACTACGTATACCACATGTAGAAAGACAAGAATAACCTTGTGAAGAAATGTGTATATAGTGTTTTTGCTAAAGAATCTGCTGGCAAACCCATTGTGTACTTGGTGCATTATGAGCATTTGCCCCAAGTCCGTGCATGCCTTAGAACACAGCTTACTTCTGCTCGACCATAGTCTTCATGGTTTCAGCCACCCAATTCTAAAGATGCCCAAAACATCCAGGCGTTGATCCTAAGAGCAGCAACATTGAATCTAAGCGGACACTTCGCCCACCTTCAGCTTCTTCTACTGCTTCACTTGCAGCATTCAGAGCGCTGCGCCTGTATCATGAGGAATGCGTGCTGGTGCCCTTCGTGAACTTCCTGCCTGTTTGAAACCCCAAGAATATCTAGCGTACGGTGCACTTGCAACCAGTCTTTGGAGAAAGCCCGAGTAGCTACAGTAGATAGACGACTCAGTGATATTTTACTTCGACCAAATCAGGGACCATAACGCATTGGTCACTCTCTTTCTTCTCTTGGTCTCTTGGTGGCCGGCTTTGTTCCACGCTCATCCTGAAGGTCTCGCCGAGAACCTGAGTTAACGAGTCAGAATATATCAAGCCTTGTCTGCACTGACCTCAATCGACAAGAAGAGCGGCAAAAAGGTTTCTGCTGCTGAGACCTCTTCAAAAAGCTTCAGAGGTTGACTGACTGGCTGTTTGCACAATCCAAAACGAATAAACTGCACGGCACCAGAGGCAAGCAAATCAGCAAGCGGCTGTGCAGCTCATCCAGCTGGTTGTATGCAGCTTCAGCCTGCAATCGGGAATGATTGAAACATCTCAGTACACCTTTGTTACACAAGAGGAATAGCTGGGCAGCTGCTCGGGTCGTAAGCGCAATAACAACAGGATGACAACACTTGGAATCAATTGTTACAGTATCATTCAACATGCTAGTGCATCCGTTGACAAAGAGCCGCATTCAAGGCGCTTTGTTCGATGCTGTGTCAAAGGTAGATGCTGATTCTACCTACCCATCGGCGGGTCGGCGTTATCTCCAGTGACTCAAACCACCTTGAGGATGTGCTTTATCATTTGTGAATTGGAGAAATCTGTCTGCGTGCACCTTCCATCTCCCTTTGTAGAGTGTGGCCTAAAATATCAGATCGTGATCCTTGACGGTGCACTGAGCAACGTTGGCCTCCTGCTCGATCTTGGCAAGCTTGGGACGGATGGCACTGGCTTTCTCCTGGTCTGCTTCATGGCTCACTCATGAAGTTCATGAAAATTCGCGTGAATCCTTCATAAGGTGTCTCTTCATAAACTGAAGAAATCCAGTCCTGCGCTGCCCGAAGCTTTTGTGCTTGTGAAATTCGCACAAAGCGCGCTGGATCTTGAAAGCCTCCGGTCCTTTGAGCCAGGGCTTTGTCTCTAAAATTGCTTTCAGGTCTAAGCAGAATGAAGGCCTTTCAGGGATTTTAAGTCACAAAATATACTAGTTCAATGAAAGAACACTGTTATGACCGTGGTTCTCAGATCCCTTCCGCCATTCCTCTTCTGACATAGTCGCATCAATGGATCGTGGTTGAGTGTTCTTCTGCGTTTCAGGTCTGACACTGGGGCAGTGGCAAAGTGCCCCGGCTGCTGACCTCAGACATTTCGAATCATTGGTTCCATTCAGTTACCCCTCTCCTCTCCCCCTTTGTTCCCAGCCTTGTCACCATCCAAGGTGATCGCATCCAGGCCAAACTTGCGGCTTACCTGGCCATTTCAAAAAATCCACCATAACGAGAATGTCCCGTCCCCTCCATACACAAGAGTCACAAGAGAAGATTGCTGCAGCAAGTCTCAGAAGACCCCAAACAGTGAGAAAGGCATTTGTACTTATGCCAAGTACTTGCTGGAGTCACTGCAGGTCACAGCATTCAGAATACATGGAGACTAGCACTACTCGTATGTGTTGTCCATGCTTGTAGCTGTGCCACTTTGGAAAATATTGGACCTCATCGCAAAGCTCCAGAGTAGAACAAACCACAGTCCTGATGCTCTGAGATAGCGTGTCTGTCACGCTTTCACCAAGAATGAAGTTGTAATTAGCCCAGCTGGAGACCCCAATAGCAAGATACAAACCGGGACAAAAAGAAAAATCTGGAAACAGCTGCTGTTTTCAACACATCGACCATCTCTTCCTTTGACACCATCATCACATGATCGGGACACCATCACAAAATGACCAGGGCACCATCAAAACATGACCGAGACACCGTCACAACATGATTGGGACACCATCACAACATAACCGGGACACCATCACAAGGTGACCGGGACACCAGCATGACATGACGGGGACACCATCACAACATGACCGGGACACTATCACAGCATGACCGGGACACCATCACATGACCCGGACACCATCAAAACATAACCGGCACACCGCCAAAACATGACCAGGACACCATCACAACATGACCGGGACACCATCAAAACATGACCGGGACACCGTCACAACATGAGCGAGGCACCATCACAACATGACTGGGACACAATCACAACATGACCGGGACACCATCACAAGGTGACCGGGACACCAACATGACATGACGGGAAAACCATCACACAATGACCAGGACACCATCACAACATGACCGGGACACCGTCACATGACCCGGACACCATCAAAACATAACCGGCACACCGCCAAAACATGACCAGGACACCATCACAACAGGACCGGGACACCATCAAAACATGACCGGGACACCGTCACAACACGACCGGGACACCATCAAAACATGACCGGGACACCATCACAACATGACCGGGACACCATCAAAACATGACCGGGACACCATCAAAACACGACCGGGACACCATCACAACATGACTGGGACACAATCAAAACATGATCGGGACACCATCACAACATGACCGCGCCACCATCACATGATCGGGACACCATCAAAACATGACCGGGACACCGTCACAACACGACCGGGACACCATGAAAACATGCCCGGGACAATCACAACATGACCGGGACACCATCACAACATGACCGGGACACCTTCAAAACATGACCGGGACACCATCACAACATGACCGGGACACCATCAAAACATGACCGGGACACT